GGCTCTTGTAAGGATTTGATAAGAATGTTTTAACTTTATAAATATAATTTTTTCATAAATATATTTACGAACACAAAATTTCATAATGAGCCGGCACTGGTTTCTGACATTCATCCGACATTAAGAAATATCATATCATATATCCAATTCAAAATTTTATTACTCTTTTTAAACTAAATTTGTTTCTTAAGATAACTTTTGAAAAATTATATATTTGCGCTGGTTATGACATATGTAGACTATATATAACACTTACATCAAATTAAGAAGTAGTTTACCACGTAAGGCAGTTGGCTCACGATCCAGAGTTCGAATCCCACTAAGGTGTGTTTTTTTCAAATACGAGAAAATATTTATAATCATAGACTTCATCTTAAGAAACAAATTTAGTTATAAAATAGTAATCAAATTTCGAAAAAAATAATTTTTTTATGCCGTGAATTTAATGCGATCCAATACTTTTGAATGCTAAGCATCAACCACTGCTGTCTCACATTCAGCGCGGTAAAGTTTTATGCGAACCAATACTTTTCAATCCCTTTCTTCGCATCAGAAAGCAGAATTTAAATTAATTCTTTTCAATCCGACATTTTATGCAGGGAACCTCATCTTCATGTTGACATTCCAAATCTATTTCTTTGACTTTTACGATGCGGTTTCCGACTGAACGATACGAAAAACACTCTGCTCCCCGACTGTAATGAAAACCTTCTTATCGTGCAATATTGAAACAATAGATTCGTCCTGCCATGTCTGTGAAGTTGGCCCCTTTTTTCAAAATTCGGAAAAATTTATTAGAGTTCTAGATTCCCCAGCAAAAGTTCTAGAGTTCTCTATAGTTTTTAGAAAGAGTTCCGTCCTTTAAAGTGGTGAAAACACCATTTAAAAAATGGGAGGGCTAACTTCACGGCGCCCCCCATTTTTGAAAAAAATGAATTTTTTATGGTAGTTCCGGATATATTTCGATGAGTTCTAGAGTTCCCTATAGGTTTTAAAAAGAGTTCCGTTCAAATAAGCCCAAAAATCGATGTCAAAGTTGAAAAAATTTCCACTTTTAAAAAAAATCAATTTTTTATGGTAGATTCAGAAAGATTTCGACGAGTTCTAAAGTTCCCTATATATAGGTTTTATAACGCTCTGACCGATATTTCAAAAGTTACAGCCCTTCAAAGTGCCGCACCTAAAATTAAACAATTATTATACCGGAGTTCTGGCGGGAGTTCTGGTCGCCCCCCGAGGAGTTCTATCGAAAATTATCAGGGTCTGAAGCGCTCCGACCAATATTTCAAAAGTTACAGCCCCTCAAAGTACCGCACCTCGAAAATCTTCTAAGTCTCGAGGGGTGACACTTTGAAGGGCTGTAACTTTTGAAATATTGGTCGGATCGTTTCAAACCCTGATAGTTTTCGATAGAACTCCTCGGGGAAGGGGGGCGACCAGAACTCCCGCCAGAACTCCGATAAATCCATTTTTTAATTTTAGGAGTGGCACTTTGGAGGGCTGCAACTTTTGAAATATTGGTCGGATCGTTTCGGACCCTGATAGTTTTTGATATAACTCCTCGGGGGGCGACCAGAACTCCCGCAAAAACTGCCGATTTGTAAAAAAAAAATTACCCCTTTTGTTATTATGTAAATTATATCGCTGCACAAGGACCTTATCTTTACGAAATCTTCATCCGAATTTTTACGACGAGTATCTGGCCCTTGAATGAGATTGCACATGAAGTCAAACAATTTCTCGGGAATTTCGCATTCTCCACGAACGACGTCGTCTGCGGTCAGATTGTTAGGCAGCCTTTTGCTTCCAAGAGATGTGACACAATTTCTCAATTCGTAAGCTACATTTTCAAATATATTTTTGTCTTTCGTGTCTAAAATTGCGACCTTACTAGCTATAATCGGGAAATGTCACGCATGTAGACAATTTTCTTTCGATACGGTTCGGTTGATACCTCTATTGTGATACGGTCACCGAAAGTACTCATAATCTTACTTTCTAAATTGTCAGCACGGTAATTCTGGAAGTCCTCGAAGCGTACTTTGCTTCTTTCAAACTCCAATAATAGGGCCTTGTATCGCGAAAGTAAGTCGGCGAGGTACATGATTCGGTTTTTTTTCGATGATTTCCGCGGTTATGAGCGCAGAAAGAGAGTCAAATGCTGTCTTATGCAGCTCTCTATTTTCATGTCAGTTATCGGGCTCAGAGCGCTTCTCGGTTTGCCGCTTCATCTGTACCTGATATGAGGTAAAGCAGGTTGAGTGATATGCTACGGTTTCTTTTCTCTAGTTTCGCGAGTACCCGAGTATCATTCAAAGTTTTCGTCGTTTCTTTTATCGCATCTACGATTGTTTCTGACTGCGGAAATAAAACGTAAATCCGTTGCCTGCCAATTCTTTTTTCTATGTTACCGCAAAAAAGGCATGCCGATTTTTTGTTCGATGTAGATGACGATTCCCTTAGTAGAAGTACTTGCTCAGATGAATGATGTAGAGTCTGTGCCGATCCTGATGCATTGTTATCTGAAATATCTGATACCGATGGTTCACTCGGCCGTTGAGTCAAAAGTCGTTGATGTCGCAGCAGCCGCATAATTTTGCTGATTTTAATGGAGTTGATGCGAGTGGCGGCTAATGGAGCAAATATTTTTTGTAAATGTTTATTTTATCAGTTATTGAACACGAAATCAGTAATCAACAGAAATGAGGAGGTCGTATTATCAGTGTAATCGTGATGCAGCTTCAGAATATCTCAATACCTTCTTCAAGTCCTCAAGACAGTGAAGTAAGGGAATAATCGTTCAGGAAATCGCTCGATTGTTTAATATGATAATTGTCCGAATTTTTCTCCTTTCCAACGTCAGAGGTACTTGGCTGCACGTCAACAGTAGACGTACTTGGCTGTTCCTGCAAAATAGTTTTAATCAATTAAAAAATAATTGAGGCAAAACTAATTTTTAAGCATGAATTACTTTTCTCGATTCTTTTCAAGTAATTTTGAGTAAAAAAATTCAAGTAATATTCTTTTCGTTTTTTTCTAAATTCAAATTAATTGCAAAGAACGCTGTTTGATATACGTACAAGGTCATTTGACGCGGTATGTGCGCTTTGCCAATCGGGAACCAATGGGAGTCTCGATGCCTGTGAATATGCATTATGCTGAGTCCGGGAAATTTCATGTTATCCTCATTTTGAACAAAAAATTTTACTTACAGTTTGTGTTTTGCAGAAATTGTCGGATTCCGTCTTGTACTTCTGCTTCAAAACTGCAATTTTTTTGTAACACGATAAATGGTAGTCGTAATTTGAACGAAAAAGACCTTTTTGCACCTGGCTGCCAGGAGGTTGCGGCAGACTGAGAGGTGGCAACCTATTTTTTACAAGTTCTTTAGATCACTCTCTTTCAGATGACGCTTCATTTACTTCGTAAACAAATAAACAAAGTTGTTTAAAAAAATTTAATTAAAACAGCTCTAATTGAGGGTACTTGCGGCAAGATTTTGCTAGGCACACCGGCCGCGATGTATGACCTGATATGTAATCTTCCATTAAAATCGCATTTTGATAAAATAACAGATAAACGTATAAATTACGCGGTCGGATCCTAGACTACAATTGTTGTTGTTTGTCACAAGGTAACGCAAAACATTTTCTGTGCATTGGCTTCCTGCCAAGTTGTGCAGACGTTGCAGAAAATGGGAAAGTTTCTTGTTACTCAGCTCCTGTCCTCGCAACAGTTTTCTTAATTTTGATTCTTGCGACTTGCCAAATTATTCATAATATTGGCCACAAATGGTTCTATAGCGGGATCCAGATGGGTTAGCACATACCGATATTTGGTGTCGTCTCCCGTTATTCGGTTCAGCGCAAACATTGCTTCGATTACCTGGAACCAATACGTCAGAATCTCTTGCCAGAAAAGCTGCGGCAGCTTGATCTACTTAGCTGAGCTTATCCATGACCCTTGCGTTGCGGGATCCAGTTGGTTCACTTCTGGCTGCGCTTCGTATGCGGCAAGGCCCCTGCCAGATCGCCGCTCTGAGGCCGCATCTGCCCGTGCCTGTTCTCCGTAGAATCCCTCGGCGTTTTGAGGATCCTGGTTGGAACACGTCGGACTTCGGTGGACCAAAGACATCTCTCGCGGAAATCACATCGGGGTCACCAAATTATTTCCTGTGGCGGGTTATGAGTACAGAACTATGAATTACAGTTAATAAATATGTATGCTTTTATTCATAATATCACAGCTACTTGAATATCTAACGGTCAGAGCTAGACTGCTTCGTCATCTCAAAATCTCAAACATGGTGGAAGGTCACGCTATCGGCATTCGCAAATCCATCTTGTGCGTTCGTCCATTGACCACGGATTTATAGATGCCTCTACAGACTTTTAATTACATTGAAGCGAAGTTCACCCCACCCTGGCCTGTTTATAGGGCAAACAGGGTTTATCATTGTACGAATCGGATTTTTAACTTTCCACGCGAACCGAGGTCCACCCCTACCTGCAAAGGAGGGGCGGTAGCCTCTTTTAATTTAAAATTACATTATTTGTTCATAACTTTTAAATAAATAATGACTACCGATTAAGTAAAGAAAAGTTAGTCAGGATCACGTCTGTGACAACATGTGTCAAGGTCGTTGAAATCGGTGAGATTGCCTTCTTTCTGTATAATTACTGATGAATGCTTTTTCATAAGTTTTTTACTCTTTTCTTTTCTAGCAAAAATATACTTCATATCTGATTCAATTGTTTTCTTTTTTTATATATAAATAAGATTTGTTTCGAAAATTATCCAAATTACTTAAATAATTCAAATGCTGTTTTGACTTTTTGAAGTGGAACCAATTTAAAGTATCTGATTATCAAGATATCAAAATATTCAAAACTACTATATAAAACAGCCACGTAGTAAATTGAAGCAAAGAATCAAGAATTTCAATTAATGTAAGTTATAAATACATATTTTGTTTCATATGTATTTTTATTATTTTACAGCATTTTTTGATACTTCATGGCCAGAGATGAACGAAAATCTACCAAAGACGACAGATAGTATAGAAAAAGCACCTTGTGGGTGCATACCGGATTGCTCCCTGTATTATTACCCCATTGAAAGTTCTTTTGGAACTCTCGATACTACTGTTTACTATACTGGTGGCAGTTTCTCAAAGAACCCTCGGTAAAGAAAATAATTTATTCGCATATATAAAGCATTAAATTAAACATCTTTTTTGAAATATGCATATTTTCTTACTAATTTTAAAAGAATTTTTATTTGACAAGATTAGATTTAATTTTATTATTAATCTCATGCAGTTTTTTACATTAACATCTAAAAATATATATATAAGTATAATAGAGAGCAAACATGCTATCCAGTTTCAGTATAATAAATAGAATTGCATTTGTATTAAGCTTCTTTCTTTATAAGTCTCTTTACATTTTCTACAATTAATCTATGTATATGTAGATCGGCTCAAAGGAGAAAGAAAGGCTTGGTGCAAATGTAGTTTAACTTTATTACACCTGAATATTACTTTTATTCTTGATTAAAATTAAATAAATGGTAAATATACCGAATAAGGGAGCTCGCCCCGATGACCTTGACCTTGACATATGTTGTCAAGGTCATGATCCTGAACAACATTCCAAAGGTTTTTTGTTATTTGTTAAAAAGTTATTAACAAAAAAAGTTTGAAAAATATAGCAGTTATTTTGAGTGTTGAAAGGCATATTAAGGGCATATTAAACCACTGTAGAACACAAAAAAAATAGAGCACGAAAAAAATAGCACGAAATATGCCTATTTTTTTCGTGCTCTACAGTGGTTTAACCCCTTAAGGGAAATAATTTGTTGATATGTGTGTATAGACAGTACACATGTAGGCGGAGGAGAGGCTATCGCCCCTGCCACCTTTTCCGCTTATATATGTACTTCTATCCCGTTAAAGTAGAGCATACTACGTATTTGATTGTTTGTGAAATTTTGTAAACACTCTGAACACTCTTGGTATACATATATGAAAGACATTACTACTGTTAGTAACTATTTATTCGTACAAGTATTCAGTCCCCAGAATAATCTTACTCAGTAAATATCACAACGCAACATAATGCATTTATATGATTGACTTTTTAACTCGCTTTAACAAAAAGATGGTTCAATATATTAACAATTCACTACTTTAAATGACTTTCCTTCGTTCATACATGTACTATTTTTACATACATAGTCGTTTATGCCTTTCAATACTTAAAGTAACTGCTAAATTTTTAAAATTTTTTTTGTTAATAACTTTTTAACAAATAACGAGCGACGGCTAAAACCTTTAGAATGTCGTTCAGGGTCATGACCTTGACAACATATGTAAAAGTCAAGGTCATCGGGGCGGACTTCTCTATTCGGTATATTTACCAAACAAATAATTAACGAAAAGTTTGTTAGAATAAGATATTTCTTGAAGTAAAGAATTCTTTTATTCTCAAAATCATCAAGAGACCAAGAATTTTCTTTCAGGATTATAGCACACAAAAATATAAGTGAATCGATTAATCGTAACTAATAAGGAAATCCTGTGAAGTGACAAATCCTGATTTTAATGAAACTTTACATAGATATAGTGTTACGTCAAAACCTCAGGATTCGGGTAATTATTACTGGGAAGCAAAAGAAAGGCTAATCAGAAGGAGGGGGTATGGAAAAAATACAAACAGAACTTACTCTGTTACTCTCGCAGGTACACGCACTGAGGCGCGTGTCGCGAGTTGAATGCACTTTTCAATGACTCCAGATAGATCAACGTCTCGTAGGGACGCTAGAACTCCTTCTGTAAGCGGTGTGATTGTCGCACAGTGAGTCGAGTCGCGGAAAACGCGGCCAAAATTCTATAATTTTATTTAAAATTAATAAAAAACTCCAAAATTTCGACATATTTTTTAAACATTGTTCTAATTAATTATGATAATTTAATTATTCAACTTATTTTCCTTTTAACGATACACCTCGTAAATGCATCGATTCCCGGCGAATACCGGGTGGATGGCGCCCGACCGAACTCCAGTCGGGCGAAGACAGGGCGTGGTGCGCCCACATCTTCTTTAATTTCGTCAAAGAGATCGTGTGCGCGAGTAATTAGCGACTCGCAGCACCGATATTCCTCTCGGAGCTCCGACAAGCGCCGACGGGAACCGATCTCCGTCGAGCGCGAGAGCGAGGCCGGGAACCGTAATTCCGCGCCGCTCCGCTATCAGCCCCAGCGCTCGTCTCGCCCGGAGATCGGCTATCCTCCCCCCTCCTTTCCGATCTATCGCACCGAAGAAGTATAAAATACCGATTCCTTGACCGCGCTCCGCCACCGGCCATATCTGGCCCCTTAATATGCAAGACCGTTTTACTAAGTGGATCGAGCTATGACGAGTCATCGCACCGATCGTACAACACATAACCAAAGCAATTATCCTCCAGTCCTGACGAAATTTGATCCGATAATGGCACAATTAAAATCAAAGCAGCTCGCCAAACTCCTAAACGACTGCGGAATCCGCCACCGATTTACACCGGCATACGCGTCTCACTGCAATCCAGTGGAACAAATGAATCGCGTGGTTAAAACAATGATCGTGCAATACGCGAAGAAACATAAGACGTGAGACGAGCATTTGCCAGAACTTCAATTCGCCTACAATACCGCAACGCACGATCCAATCGGCTATACTTTCGCGTTCCTGATTCACGGCCGCGAATTACGGCCCGCGCTTCGGGGAAAATGCGCCACACGGAAACATAACCCCGCCGCCGACCGTCCACCGTCGATTAAACAAAGCATACGAGCTTGTGAAATTACAGTTGGCTCGCGCGTTTCAGCACCAGGAGAGGCATTACAACCTCCGCCGCCGAGACAGGAGGCCACAAATCGGGGAGTGGGTGTGGAAGCGGGATCGCTCGCTGTTCAACAAAGAAGCGGCATTCAACAAAAAACTCGTCCCAAAAGAAGTCCGATTTTTAGCCCCCCTGCGGAACTTTAGTTGACCGTAAAAAAATTGTTGTTTGGGGCCCACATGAACAAGAAAACAGTCTTACATCCCAGAATGCGGGGAACATTGATTTTACATCAAATTACCTTGTGAAAATCAAATATTCGGATACCACGCTAATTCATGAATCGGATGCATTGCAAAGATTTTTTAATTATAACTGATATTAAAAGGTTTTTGAAGTCTCTGATCATGAATCTATTATCCAAATTGCAAAATGTAGAAATGGCGAATCAAATTGGCGTTCTTGACATGTAGTTTTGTATATAGGCCCTGGCAAAAATGAGAAGTTTCATGAACGTTTGACGTTTACGTGAGCCTTTGCGGGAGTTCGTTGAGAGTTTGGAAACGGTCAGTAAAGATTTCATAGAGCGGAAATTGGCACACTGCAGCGTTTGAAAGGCGTTTGTACATAGCATTTTTGAGAGTTTGCACAGCGTTAACATGACGTATGACGTTTGCTGAGAGTTCTTTAAAATATTTATAGATCCTCTGTTAAGCATTTAATAGGCGTTTACTTTTATCATTAAAAACTGTATGCAGCCTCTATTGAGCGTTTAACGAGCGTTTACCCTTGTCGTTAGAAGAATAATTTTTATTAATATGATAATGAGGTTTTGAAACCGAATCTACTTTTCGCCTCACAGGGGGTCTGCTTGTATACGCGGCTGGATGTATTTTAAATGCGAGAAAGATGCGCCGCCTAGCGGCGTTGTTGGAAGAGTAACGTTTGCTGAATGGAGGGAAAACGCTCGTGTTACAGCGTCGAGAAAAGCGTTTCTTAGGCGTTTTTAAGCCGTTTGTGTAAACGCCCTCTATAATTCGCCGCATTGAAAAAGTGTTTGCTGAACGGAGGAAAAACGTGTTACGGCGTTGGGAAAAACATTTGCTAAACGTTTGAAAAGTCGAACAGCTAACTCTTTTCACGAAAGTATCATTTATTTTATAGAAAAAAAAATGAATTACTTGATTTTATTACGGCAATACAAACATTTTGGATCGGTCATTTTGAATCCGCCATGTTAGGTTTTTTTACTTAATTAATGGATTCGTAATCAGCATGTCTGAAAAAGCTCGCTCAGACTCATTTTGATAAAATATTTGAATGACGTAATCCTACGTACTTTTGATACCAATTATAATAAAAAAAATCTTTGCAACGGATCCGATTCATGAAAAATTTTAGCGTGGTATCCAAATATGTAGTTTTTACAAGGAAATTTGATATAAAATCAATGTTCTCCGCGTTTCTGGGATATAAAACTGTTTTTTCATATTCATGTGGATTCCAAACAATTTTTTACGGTCAACTAAAGTTTCGTAGGGGGCCTACAATCGGACTTTCTTACCATTCTCCTTTATATTGTCATGGTTTTATTCGATTATTCTGGCGTTAGAATATTTGTGATTCAATTAGATTGTTAATTTTATTTATATTACTAGGAGATTGTTTAACGTTTTAATACGTTAACTTAAGGAAGTTCGATCATTACTTGTGAGTCAAAAATGCGATTGAAATAAATGTTATTACAGCGATCCCAAATTATATGCAATATTAGTATAATGAATTGTGGATGCTAGGTAATTATTTACAAAAAGACCCCACTCGCCAATGACCTTGACCTTGACATATGTTGTCAAGGTCACCCTCCTGAGTGACCTTCAGAAGGTTTCAGCCGGCGGTCGTTCTTTATTAAAAAGTTATTAACAAAAAAAGTTTGAAAAATATAGCAGTTATTTTGAGTATTGGAAGGCATAAATAACTAATACGCATACACTTTTCACGCAAACCGAGGTTCACGCACACCCCCCCCCGTGCTTTCGGGGGAGGTGCAGTAGCCCCGAAATAGTTCACGCATACACTTTTCACGCGAACCGAGGTTCACGCACACCCCCCCCCCCGTGCTTTCGGGGGGGGGGGGGGGGCGTGAACCTCGGTTCGCGTGAAAAGTGTATGCGTGAACTATTTCGGGGCCACTGCACCCCCCCCGAAAGCACGGGGGGGGGTGTGCGTGAACCTCGGTTCGCGTGGAAAATGTATGCGTGAACTATTTCGGGACTACCGCACCTCCCCCGAAAGCAGGGGGAGGGTGGGGGTGGACCTAGGTTCGCGTGGAAAGTGTATGC